AAGAACTGTGAAGCTAGCGATTACGGCGTTTGGTTCACTTTTGTCATTACATATCCAGAATAAACAGCTAATAGAAGGGCGAAGTGGTTTACGTGCTTTTCGTTGATCTTTACTTCTGGGACGCGGTAACTTTCTACTTCCATTCCGGATCGTAGAAGAATTAGAGTGAATATTTGACATATTTTAGACCGACGTCATAGTCGGCGACGGACCAAGCGATGGAGCGATCGCGATCGCTCCATCGCTTGTCCGTCGCTTGCCAATCGCTCTCGGTCGAGCGATTGGCAAGCGATTGCGCAATCGCTTGCAATGTGCACAAGCGACGGGCGATTGGCCCCGCCCCCAGTCAATGCAGTCGGCTGCGGTATCGATCGAGCAGAGCCATTGCCCGTCGCTTGTGCACTTTGCAAGCGATTGCGCAATCGCTTGCCAATCGCTCGACCGAGAGCGATTGGCAAGCGACGGACAAGCGATGGAGCGATCGCGATCGCTCCATCGCTTGGTCCGTCGCCGACTATGACGTCGGTCTATATCCACAATGACTAGCAGAGGCGACTGATGGTCAACTCAGGGTCCTCATTTTCCCAGAAGTGCTAGATAGTTGGTCACGGAGAGATTTAAGGTTGGTGTAGTTGGGATTTCCCTTTACATAAAAGGGCGCTAGCAGGGTTCCTGCCTCATCGCTTCCTTTTACTTTGCATTTAATGTTTTTAGGAGCTCATAGGAATGCTTATGAATGATGATATTGATGCTGGAAGAAAGGGTCGGATTCTCCGTCGCTTCATTTCAACGTGTCAGGACGGTTTCACTGCTATTGAGGTATTTGTTGATAACATTACACAGCTTTGACTCTTCATGTAGGTGTAAGCTGGTTTCATCAATAATAATTTCGAAGCGTATGTCCAAAGCAGTCATTCGCTGCAATCATTCACATTGGTATTGGTTGGTGGGGTGGTGATTATAAGTGCTTGTGTTATATTGTTAACGGCAGCAGTGAGATGTTCAGTGACTATTTAAGAGTATGTTTCAATCTTTCATAGTATTGTAAATCGGCGATCTCCTTGTTTTATCTTTCGAAAGTTTCAGGAAGTTGACATTGGAATGGCAGCAGATGTTGGGACGCTAAACCGATTTCAAAAAATTGTAGGAAACGACAGTGCGACTAGGGCGAATTCAAAAAATTCAATTTCTAAGCAATTCGTATGCCATCTTTGCGAAGGAGATGATTTTCTGAAATTTTTCAGTCATTGGGTAAGGTTCTAGGGATCTAAACCAGAACAATTAAATTTTTTAAAATTTGAAGTCGAGCATTTCGCAAGGTAGCTATTTAAACGAAGAACTGGTGCTATCAATCAGCACTGACGATTCTGAAGTTCAGTCGTTTCATTTAATAAAACTGGCTAGACTTTAGCGAGCGATATGCAATCTGCTGTGCGCAAAGTTCATCAGAGTCCTTCATATTCATAGCAAAAGTGTGGTGGCTTTCTTCTCCCACATTTCTTTTCTTTCTATTCGATTTTCTTTTCTCTAATTATTGGCCGAATGATGACGGAGCATTAACAGCTGAGGCAAAACTGAGCCGTTGAAAAGGAAAATCACGACTCGAACCTTGGCTTTATACAAAAGGGGTGGGCACGCCCAGCTTTCCACGCATGTCGAGCGACTGCCCTCAACCCCCCCCCCCACTTTCTAGTTGTGTGGCTCCCCCACTTTCTTCACGATTTGGGGCGCGGCCGCGGCGAGCGCGGACGAGTCGATAGTGCCCGCGAACTGTGTGGGTAAATTTGAAAACGCTCACCACCACAGTTCGCGGGCACTATCGACTCGTCCGCGCTCGCCGCGGCCGCGCCCCAAATCGTGAAGAAAGTGGGGGAGCCTAGTTGTGTGTGGTTCACTAGGTCAGGAAGCGAGCTTCGCGCGCGAAACATTTTTCAAGAACCTCAGGTCCACTGCTGATCATGGGTGGACCTGAGTTCCCACAGCGAAAAATGTTTCGCGCTACGAAACGTGAAAAGGTCGCTTCCTATTCTACATTTCTGTTCAAAAAATACGGCGTGCTTGTATAGCACCCGAATTTGTCTTTGTTCACACGCTGTTATATTCTTTCAACTACTACCTCTAATTTAGTATACCCTCGAATGTCCTGGAAACCATGGTGCCAAGTGGGTTGGGGGGACCACGCGGCGGCGCGGCGCTCTGTTCGTCTGCTCCTCCAAGGCTTAGTCCGCCGATGGCGCGTATTTCGAAACTGCCACGTGGCGACGAAATAGTAACTGCCCCTGGACTAAGCCTTAGAGGAGCAGACGAACAGAGCGCCGCGCCGCCGCGTGGCCCCCCATCCCACTTAGATGTCGGTCAGACTCTGCGATTGCATCGCGCGATGCAGTCGCTCTGCCTAGAGCGATTGGCATCGCTCCAAAGTGCGAGCGACGGGAGATTTACCCGAGCGGCGCCGTGTGTATCGGTCGTCGGCGGGGTAAATCTCCCGTCGCTCGCACTTTGGAGCGATGCCAATCGCTCTAGGCAGAGCGACTGATGCATCCCGCGCGATGCAATCGCAGAGTCTGACCGACATCTTAGCACCGCGAATGTTTCGCTTTTCGCAGCGCGAAACATTTTTCGCTGCGGGAACCTCGGGTCCACTGATGATCAGCGGTGGACCTGAGGTTCCCGCAGCGAAAAATGTTTCGCGCTGCGAAACGCGAAAAATTCGCTTTCTGTCCTTGTGAACCACACCCCTACGCAAACCACTTCCGTTCCTTTGTCAACACAGCACGTTTATTTTATAGTTTCAGTGTATTCCGATATTACAGCGTTTTTAGGTCAAATTGAGGCATTTTAGGCATGCACAGGTCAATAGTCAACCTATCGCGTCGTTCTCATCCAGTGCTCCGCTTTCTTAGCTCGTCAGCTTCAGTGAAGGCAGAACTGGAAGTGGAGGAAGCTTCTTCACATGTCTACCATGTGAAGCTCAATCGACCTGATCGCCGCAATACTTTCACTATGGAGCTATGGAAGTGAGTTATTAGTATTATGATGACCTAAAAGGAAGCGGTCGCGATAAATCCTGTAGGAAGGAATGAGTAGATGCACAGTGCGGTAGAAAACCTACCCAATAAGGCGACAGGCGGCGCTTCTAGGACAGTGGCGCCTTATAAACAGCGTGATAAGGCACCGGAAGCGAACTCTTCAACTTGCGGAGCTCTCGCCCACCCCGTTTCAGACCCCATTTAAGGGAAAGTGGCAAAGACAGCATGCTTTCTACGAAACACTTATCGTTATCGTTCTGGAGTGCACCTCATGCCAAGCATATCTTCCATCATATGATATCGTGTCTTCTGTAGGCCTACGCTCGTCCATCCATTCTCTAACTCCTCTTATCTCGAATCTTTCCGTGAATGATGTGTGGAACTCTTACCCACCTCTAAAACGGCGCGACCGCTTCCTTTAGGCTTGGATGATTAGATATTACTTCCATGAAGGCATCAATGTGTTTGTCAGGAGCCCTTTTTGGTTCTTAGTATAAGGGTGTAAATTGGACGTTTGCAGAGAAATGAAATCAACTTTCGATAGACTTTCCGAGGAGCCAAAGTGTAGAGCAATCGTTATATCGGGAAACGGCAAGTCTTTCTGTGCTGGGATTGACCTACAACAAGGCATGGGGGTTTGTTGTATTCTCTTTCCTTGTAGAATGCCAGGATGCTAGTCATGCATAGGGCTTGTTTTCAACATGGTGTTAAACAATACACGCGACATAAATAAGGCACATGATGATGCTGTAGTGAATATTGGGTCAAATGAATGAAGCCGGCAAGGTTCTGAGGAGTACTCGTATATTCGGAAGCACTCGCACACAACGACGAGATCAATGAGTGCATCACCGAGACGCAACTCGTCGAGAATGTACAGGGTTGCACGGGGGGGGGGGGAGTGTTGATCATTGGAATGCTCATGCAAAGGTCCCCGGTTAGATAGCGGAGTGTTCCGCAAAAAGAATCATAACATTTTACGAAAGTGCTGTAACTTGTACGTAAAGCTAAGAGCCTTCGGACCCGGTAAAGAAAACTTGTAATTGCAATATGGGACGTTAAGGTTGTCGTAGCGAAGAACTGTGAAGCTAGCGATTACGGCGTTTGGTTCACTTTTGTCATTACATATCCAGAATAAACAGCTAATAGAAGGGCGAAGTGGTTTACGTGCTTTTCGTTGATCTTTACTTCTGGGACGCGGTAACTTTCTACTTCCATTCCGGATCGTAGAAGAATTAGAGTGAATATTTGACATATTTATATCCACAATGACTAGCAGAGGCGACTGATGGTCAACTCAGGGTCCTCATTTTCCCAGAAGTGCTAGATAGTTGGTCACGGAGAGATTTAAGGTTGGTGTAGTTGGGATTCCCTTTACATAAAAGGGCGCTAGCAGGGTTCCTGCCTCATCGCTTCCTTTTACTTTGCATTTAATGTTTTTAGGAGCTCATAGGAATGCTTATGAATGATGATATTGATGCTGGAAGAAAGGGTCGGATTCTCCGTCGCTTCATTTCAACGTGTCAGGACGGTTTCACTGCTATTGAGGTATTTGTTGATAACCTTACACAGCTTTGACTCTTCATGTAGGTGTAAGCTGGATTCATCAATTAAAATAATTCGAAGGTATGTCCAAAGCCAGTCATCGCTGCAATCCATTCACATTGTATTGGTGCGGGTGTGGACTTGATAAGTGCTTGTGATATTCGTTACGCCAGCAGTGATGCCATGTTCAGCATAAGAGTATGTTTCAATCTTTCATAGTATTGTAAATCGGCGATCTCCTTGTTTTATCTTTCGAAAGTTTCAGGAAGTTGACATTGGAATGGCAGCAGATGTTGGGACGCTAAACCGATTTCAAAAAATTGTAGGAAACGACAGCTGGACTAGGGAATTGGCTTATACGGCGAGAAACATTGGTGCAGATGAAGCACTTAAATTTGGTAGGACTCCTAGGAGAAGTGAGATTTCTGAGATGGAAGTAGTGATTGTTGGTCATGGCGCAGTCAAAAGATTGTCATACTCTCACTTTTGCAATGCTTTCCATCTCCAGGATGCTACTGGTACCTTCAGTTACTCTGTAATCGCGAAATATTCAGGTTTGATTTCTCGTATTTTCAACTCTGAAAGGGAAGTCGTTGAAGGTGCTTTGGCCTTAGCGAAGAAGATAGCTGAAAAGAGTCCAATTGGAGTTCAGGGCACGAAGGAGGTGAGCGAGTAGTCTCCACTTCTATTATAATGTGAATCGAAGACCATTACTTATTCTCTAAACTTTCGATAGACTTTTTTTTCTTTGAGATTTTCATTTCCAAATGTCATACTGTAGTAATTCGGTTGCCCGGCACTACCCGACACATTAGGTGTATGTCGCACTCGGTGACTGTGCAACCGCGACAGCGCTGTCTATCCCATTGGTATTGCCGGGGATCGTGTTTTCACACGCATAACCTCTCTCACCGACGGGTTGCGAGTTTCTGCTCAGGACTGTGGGGATGCTGCTGTGATCTGCATGTTGAGAATGCGGTCTGTCTTGCGCCGCTAGCGCAAAGAGCGGTGAGGCTGGTGTCAGAGTCCGCGATCCGTCGCAGGTTTCGCTGATTTTCGCGATTTGCGCGATTCACGCGACGGGTCACGGAAATCACAAGTGCCCGATCAATACTGCAAGGTGTTCTCCAATCCTGCCGCCACTTCTGCTTGATAGTGATGGCTGAATGACGACTGCTCATGATTCCACTTGTTTCATATTCAGTGTTTCAAATGTTCAAATGGGGCACTTGCAATTTTTGCGATCCGTCGCAGGTTTCGCGCAAATCGCGAAAATCGCGAAATCGCGCGAATCGCGCAAATCGCGTGAATCGCGTGAATCGCGCAAATCGCGAAAATCAGCGAAACCTGCGACGGATCGCGGACTCTGACACCAGCCTGACGTTTCGGCACTTATTGACCGGCAAAAGTGCGAACCTGTGATTTTCAAAACATGAACTCTAAGAAACGATTAGGATTATATAATTTTATCGATTGAACAAAAGAAAAAAGAAGAAAGGGTTTACGGACTACTTGATTTTTCCTCAATGGTCCTGCCGCGATGGCTAGAGCACAGACGATTAGAGAACGGGTGAATGCCCTAGGACTAAGCCTTGGAGAGGAGAGGGACCCGCGAGAGAGCGCAGAGGCGGTTAAAGGGCTGAGTTCAAGTAGTCCGTCATCCCAAAATGATCAGAAGACGTTCGATGCTCTATGATTAGAAAAATATTTAGTGTTTCTGAATATTTTCACAGCTAATCGAAAAGGCGCATCTAAAGAAAGTAGTGATTTTTTTGTGATGAACGCGCGTCTTTTCAGGAACTTTGTTTTCCCCTTTCGTAACGGGAGCACTTTCCGGTTCATGAGGTAACCTCATTAGTCTTCTGTGCGTGTCTTAAGAAAGTTATATCTCTTTGAAATATCTTCTTACCGCGGCCGGGTCTCTCGTGCCAAGTGAACGGCGCGCTCCTCTGCTGTGGCCGTGCACACCCACCGTCTTTTGAGGACCCTTGCCCTTCATAATCTAACGTTGATGTACTCGTTTACTAAAAAAACAGCAGGAGAGGTGTACCGGGACCCTAGTAGTGGGGGCTCGCAATGCGAACGCGACGGTTGACCTTACCAGCAGGGCCGTATCCGGGCCGGTTGCGCCGACGCCAACGATGGCAAATCCTCGACGGTCACTCTAGGTTCTTTAGCGTGGGTAGATAAATAGAGAGAGAGCGTTACACCAATGCGACTAGCTTAACACGCAAATCGACGGGTAAAGAGAGAGTGCCATTTCTCTGGTCTTGGCCGCTTCTCTCGAGTTTTCTTCATACCTGCGTCATTGACCACCTCTATCTTGATTTATAAGCTCTCTTTTCATTGTGAAATCCGCCTTTAAGACAGATGTCATACTTTGCGATTTTGTCGATTGTTACTACCGTTGGCTAACCGCGCGATTCGCCGTATCCATCAAAATCTCGAGTGACTTATGACCGAAGATAAACTGGCTGATCGAGGACCTTTCCCTCAACCTGACCCTAACCTTTTCATGGCCCCGTTCCAACCTTAGGATTGGGGATAGGGGTAAAGCTAGTAGGGTAGCGAGACCCAGGTAGGATTCCCTTCTCTCTTCTCAGACTCAGGGTGGGGTCAATAGCGAGTAAGGTTGGGCGAGCCCACTTCGATGATTTCTATTTATGTTTGGTCATGGGCCAATGCGGTTTGTAGCGTTATGACTCGCTCCAATCGCCAAAATTGTAAAATTCCGACATCTGTCTAAGCAGCTATACTTCAAACGGTTTCATTTCATTTTTTCTTTCTTCTTCGATTCCTCAATTGTATCAGGTTGGTAACTTTGAAATGTCGTTTTTGATCAACGATTATTTTAAGTATAAAAGCTGTATCAAAGCACATCAACCTAAATTATTTCCTCCATGTTCATCACTCTTCACCTTTTGTTACGCAAAGCATGGAGGCCTACCTCGTAGAACTCTTGGTACGACTCGAAGAAGTTAGGTACTCAAATTTTGACGTTGTCGCGGTTACTAAATTAATTTGCTGCTAGGAGCACGGCATTCACCTAACCCAATGATAGATGGACGGCGCCAGATTAGTGCTATATGGCGCAGAAGGTAAAACGCTCTAGCACCACTCCCCGATTTTTTGTAGCGTAATTTTTGCGACATGTGCTCCTGCGTTATCGTTCGAATTTCCCACTTGACGACGCAGCGCTTGGCCCAACGCGGGCTGGCTGTCGTGCGCAGGGTTCAGCTGTAACTGTCTGACCAACAATCAGCACTCCATAGTGGGCCAGTCCTATACTGTTTCATCATGAACAAGCAGGACTTTTTTCCGTGGACGTCCAGTTTCGGAGTCATCCTCAGCTGTCCATCTGCTTCAACCGCGGCCATCTTCTCACTTTGTTATCGGGGAACATCCTTTGTAAGTGCGCTTACAACGAAGTCAGGAGCCTTCTTCCTCTTGGAGTTATGGAAGCAGAGTTCCAGTATTGGCAACCAGTACTGCTTGCTCGTGTCGCTCAGAATAGGCCGAACCCATTTCTATCCTGAAAGGCCTTACCACGTAGAAACTTTTAAATTTTACTGTTGACAGCCAAATCTCCCTACGGTTTTCTGCGTAGTTTGACGAGAGCTCAATTCGTTGGCTTTCTTTAATTCTTCATTTCTACAGGTACAGGTCAAAATCCACGATCTTCGTCCTCAGGTCCTTTACCTCAGTCTTGGAAGAGCTGAAACCATAGCTGAAAGTGCATCAGAGACTAAGTGTTGCTGCTCAATGTTTTGCACACAATGAGTGGGATTCGTTGGCCGTTTTTCCTTGCTTGAATATATACGCTCAGACGATGTTTTCTGATCAATCATCTTCGAGCAAAAGTTTTGGCTCGAAGAACATCCGCTCAGTGGCGCCTAAGATTTCGCAATATGCGTGCTGAATCGCTCTCTCGAATGAATGGTCTCCCATATTAAGAGGTTGTGTTTCAGCTGAGAAACAAAGGCACAAAAGGAAGCGACATTTCAAAGTTACCAACCTAATAAGAGGTATGAACAAACTGGTGCTTCTGCATCCCTAAATAAATAGTTCGCATAATGAAAGTTCACATTATTTTGCTATGATTGCAGGTTCTCAATCATGCCCGTGATCACAGCATTCGTGATTCTTTGGATTTCGTGAAGACGTGGAACATGAGTCAAATGCAGTCAACTGATCTTCGTAATGGCGCAATGGCTGCTATGAATAAACAGAAGCCCGAGTTTGAAAATGTATAAGTCGTTACACCTTTCCTTCTCGCTTTTCTTGCCCCTTAGCACAATGCTCTGTGAATAGATTGCTATCTCGATGGGGCTCGTCTAGTTAAATGCAGCTCTCTTGTTCAGGATTTCAGTGCAGAATTTCTGTTGTAAAAGCTACCATTGCCATCTCCATTATTCATTGAAATTTATCATTTTCGTAGGACGTATAATTATTGGAGGCATTTTTAATTATCACTTTGAGATTGCGTTCATTATTACTACTTTCTGGCTTTTTTTTCGCTCCCTGACAGGTATTGCATTCATTTGCAATTCCTAGCCAATTTTTTGACAGGGGAAGAATGTGCTCGAACTATTCATAATTTCCGTGGCTGGAGACACTGCGGTATCCTTGATGTCCTTGGGGTTATATCCATGTTACTTGGTAGTTAACACTCATCGTATGAAACTTCTCCGGTGTTTATGTCGCCTTGCGGCTTTTGAGATGAATGCGTGTGAGCGTACCATCGTCCATGCCCAAGCCTGTTTTAGAGAAGCTCTCATTGAATAGGTATGTAGGACCCTCCTATAATACTGCATTTTTCTTCCCAGATTTTCCATTTCGTGTTCTTGCTTATGAATCATGTGCATGTTTTAGAGCGAAAGTTAAAGGTATGCAGCGATCCTTGGGTTGGCTCTGTTAGCATTCGTTTCAAGCTCTTTCATGTTTACAATTCTCTATGTTTTGTGATAACAACTAGTTCCTGCCCAATAGAAAAATAAAACTGTTACGGATCTACGTCTATTTGTTCATGATTGTTTGTGAACTTTGAGAATTCTTCACCATTTCTTCCGTTTTTTTTTATTTCAAACCGTATTTTACGTTCTTCAGCATCTGATTTTTCGTACAGGGTGCACGCGGCGTTCACCCCTCATTCCCGCTCTGTTTAGCTCAACATCGTCAAAATGTTCAACACAGGGTAGGTGAGATTCTCAACTACTCGATTCAGCTCAGTTTTGTTTTTGTTAATAAGATGTACGAGACGAGATGTAGTGTAATGAATTTGCAGCGTGAGCAACGTCAGCGTCCATGTTCCTTAATGGCAGCTTATAAGACGTTGTTGGAGTTGGCTTTTACCGGGGTTACGTGGCTAGAAGGGGTATGGTCGCAAAATCGCACGATATGTACAAATCTATTCGACACTTAAAGTACGAAACGCAAAGGATAGGGTCCCATGAGTTTTGCAGTTATGTCGAAAACCTAATAAATCTATTATATTTATCATTGACAGCAGGCTAAAGCGAGCTAGAGTAACCACCAAAAAGTTCCACCAATTACGTCTACTAATCCTCCAAAGTGGTGGTTCTGACCTGTAACCTGTTCAGTACAGTAAAAAGTGGCGCGTATCAACTGCTCCTTCTCAATAACTGGTGCTATGGCACCCTTTTTGAGTGCTGTCTTCATAGAGTTTGAGCCTGCGACATAATTTGTTCTTGAGATAATAATTTTTTCTGGGGAAGCGCCTACCATGAGTATCACATGACCTCTGAAGGACCAATGTGGCCCATCCATTTCTTGGGTGGGAGCAACATTGCGCCGTCAAACATCATCGCGAACAGCCCGTGAGTCGTTGAATTCTATCGTGGCGTTCCATGCAACTAGGCTCACTAAATTAAGCAACCAAAAAAAAACGCAGAATTCAATGGGACACGGCCGTGGGCTTATTTGTTTCTTTAGTCATGTTTGTCAGCCGGCTGCGAGTAATTTGATGGCAGACGGGTGAGCGCAAATTGAAGCAATGCCTTACGGAGAGCTAGAGAAAATGGACAAGTTCAGAGAGTACGAGTGGTAAACCGAGTGCACCCTCAAGTGTCCCTCTCATTGAGATTGCAAGTGCAAATTCTGATCTCTCATCTGCCGATTCCCTCTATTCACAGTTGTTTTCGTTCCCTACTTACTTCTATCGTTGCCCCGCTGAATGGGCGCACACGAGCGGAAAATGGCTATGCCACGTGTTTTCCTGAGAACACATCAGCAGCCGTGACCTAACGACACACGTCATATGCCATCGTTCAGCCATGCTTTCATTCCTTTGCTCGACCTAAGCTTCATTTCTAACACTCCATTGACGCTAACCCCGCTGAACATCGTTTACTGTTGACTACTTTTTTTCACAATCAGGATTAGATGCACGTCTAATGCAGTTCGCGGATTGGCGATTCTTGGGTTCCAAGTGCTGTACAAGTCGCCAAGTGCAAACATCCTAACTCTTTTTGTAGAGGAGTGAATCTATGGTAGCGCAATGTCCCTTGTGCTCCAGGGCTGAAAGTAGAATCAGGTTCCAGAAGACAACTTCGAGTTACAGCAATATAAAGGGAAGCAAGAAGATCAGACTGTTGAAGTTTCGAAAGAAAACTAAAAACGGAAATGAAGATCACTGATTCTCCACGTTCGTATGTTTTATGGAGTGGCTATTTTGACAAAAGACTCAAGTAGCAATACCAGCCATTTTGGACTTTCATTCCGTCGACGATCCCTTATGTCGGCTTCTTTTTCATAGCCAAGCCCCTCTGAGAAGTTTTTCAGTTTATAAGTTAGCACAATCATTCGAGCCGTATTCTTTGAGCCGAACAGGCCAAGTGCGAGGGTTTATACTCACTGAGCATTGTTTTTCAAACTTCTCGTTTTCTTTTGCTAAACAGATGACCTTCATAGTGTAGTCGTTTTGTGTGATTACGCACCGCTCCGTATTCTTATCAGCGACATCAGAGTTTACCCCATGGTTAATCAATTCGTGCCTTGCTGCCACATCAGTTACATATCAGACTGACTAATTTGCTGAACGTCATGAACGACAAGCCTCCTACAGGACATGGGTGAGGTGAAGTTCGCCTAGTTAGATGATATCATTTTGATATCCTGCTGTTCACTGCATTTTAACGGAAGGATTGTCTGCATAAATTTCTCTCAAAATCGAGGGTGTATGTGTTGACATCCAAGAAAAGCCGCTATATTTTACATGTTCTTGTTCAGTTTTCTAACTTATCTTTTCCAATCCATTGTGTTCTTGAGTTTTTCAATATAGGAAGTTCTTCGGACGAACAGTTGTCATCACTGGTGCTTCTCGTGGAATTGGAAAAGAGATAGCGTTGAAATTAGCAAAGGTACGTGCTGCAGCAATCACGTTCTCGGGAATATAATCTTGCTTCACCCCTCTCAAATCTGACACAACCTCTGCTCGTTTGAATTGTGAACTTTGAGGATGATGAACAAACAAAACAGACAGCTTCTGGTTGTCTGTAGAAGGATTAGACTTGTGTGCTCTGAGCATCTGCTACAGTACATCATCCGTAAAAGTTAACCTTGTGTCTCTGGGTGGTAGCACAAAAGGTAATCTGAATAATAGTAGTTTAATTCTGCACGCTATGGCCCACACCATGGTCCCATAGCGATGTGAAACACGGCAGCCGGCATTCTCGCAAATTCAGCTTCGTCCACCATTAGCACTTGACCTCTCCTCCTCCGCTATTCCTATTCCTCTGACCGTCTACCGAAGATCCGAATTGTGTAATTTTATTTCTCGCTCCGCCTTTCCATTTCTCATTTCCATTTTTCATTTCATCACGTCAGCCTTCCACTTTTCTACAGCCTTTATACATCTTCCAGGTCTCGCAAACCAGTCATAGGTCTCGCGAGAAACTCGCCCACTCGGTGCACTTCTCGTCCCTAAATAGCATATGGCACTCGGGAGGGAAGCTTCCGGACAGGAACGTCAGGGAGATCCACTGCTCACATCATCTTTAGAATCCCTTTCTCTTTCTAAGGCCCAGTCCACCGTACGCAACTGGATTGCTCACTTGATTGTCCCCTCCCCCTCTCTCCCCCCACTTTCCTCCAAAGTCATTAACGCCTAGACTATGACCTCTATCCTCCGTCATCACTTTCTTCCCCGCCTTCGAGCTTTTTTGGAAACGTTTGATGTGTATCACCTTACCATAGACGTTGAACATCTCCCTTAGTTTTCCTGCTTCCCATGCTGTCTTGTAACTGAGTTATGATTTCTTTATCAGTAAGATGTCGGTCAGACTCGGCGATTGCAACGCGATGGACAAGCGATGGGTCGCTCCGTCGCCGGTCCATTGCTTTGCAATCGCCGAGTCTGACCGACATCTAGGCACACCGATTTGGGAAGCTCTTCCCAAAAATCTCACACCTTTACTCATCTTATCGGTGTCTGTGCTTCTTTGACCTGAATAACAGATGCTTGCGTTCACAACACCTATTTCGGCGCGTGCCCGGCCCACCGCGAGTATGGCTTTGCATAGCTGATATGCGTTTTGATCTTGAGGCGAACATCCCAAACTTGAGATTGTCACTCCAGGCTTAACCTATGAACAATTCTCGATTTTGAACAGGTAAGCGAAAGTTGTACAAAGAGACTGGCATGACTTAATATAAAGTAAAAGACATAATTTAGGATGGAGCTAACGTTGTCATAGCTGCCAAGACTGCGACTGCTCATCCGAAGCTTCCAGGAACTATCTATTCAGCCGCTGAAGAGGTTGAAAAGGTAGGGGCATATTGGTGTTTTTCTCCTGTTGACTTCCCTCTAGTGTAAATGTGCGCAGTGCTAGGCATATTACACTTTACGAAGCAGTCCATGTTGACTTTGTCTTTCTGTTTCTGAAGTTTTACCTGTATCCAGGCTGGAGGAAAGGCGTTACCGTGTGTCGTTGACGTGCGAGATGAAGCATCAGTACGTACTGCCGTAGAATCGGCTGTGAAGAAATTTGGCGGTATAGATATACTGATTAACAATGCATCAGCAATTAGTCTCACCAACACCGAAGACACCGAGATGAAACGCTACGATCTTATGCATTCGATAAACACCAGAGGAACATTTCTAATGTGAGTTTAATCATGGGCCGTATCCCATCCTTCCCTAGGGGAGGCGTCCCCTGCCGCTGATCTTATCCAAAGGTTGGGGGAGACATGTTTGCGTCTTAGGACCAGCCATACTCTGCGTTTCTAGACTCCAGACAGCGCGACCCCTCAGAGAAAAGAGTGCCGCAACGGGGGAGGGTAGCTACAACATCATGCGTCCAATGGCGGATCCTATGACAATGAGGTAAGCAAACCAGCCCTTTTGGCGTTTCGGCTGGGACCGTATGCTGAATGTTGGGGAGGGGATGGGGTCCCCAACGGTCGACGGTTTACTTCAACTCGGTTGGTACGATAGGAGAGTACTGACGCAAGTGGTGCAGCTGGTCCAGCAGCTCCGCCAGAAGGGCTGGTTTGCTCACCCCAGGACTAAGCCTTGGAGAGGGGACGGACCCGTCCTCTCTTTAAGGCTTAGTTCTGAGGTAAGCACCAAATTGTGGCGGTTCTAAGGACCGAGTTGAAGTGGTCCGTCCACCGTCGGGGACTCCATCCCCTCCCCAACATTCAGCATACGGTCCCAGCCGAAGCGCCAAAAGGGCTGGTTTGCTTACGTCCTGACAAATCCCCTACTCCCAAAGCTCAGGATAGAATCAGCGGCGAGGGATGCGTCTCCCCGGGAAGGGGAAGATACGGACCCGTATTATAGCATAAGGTTGCTCATCATTCGTGGTAATTACAGGTCCAAGACTTGCCTACCCTATCCTGAAACAAAGCCAAAAATGCGCGCACATTTTGAATATTTTTCTCCACCCTTGCTAATGGAACCTAGATGGTTCTCCAACCATGTGGCGTACACAATGGCAAAGTATGGAATGTCAATGTGCGTGCTTGGAATGCATGAAGAGTTCAGATCGTACGGAGTAGCTGTCAACGCCCTGTGGCCATTGACAGGTAAGATTTAGAACCCGATTAACCTATTGAAGACCATGCGTGTTCTGGCTTTTTTGGCCCTGTAAGACAGGAAATCTCTCGGGTGTGTCCATCTAAACTCAGACTGGTGAATTGGGGTGAATACGCGAATTATTCATGACATAAAATCATTTTGGCAATTATTAATGTGCAGTTGTGCAGGGGAATAGAATATATAGGTAGTCGAATCCTGATTAAAAGAACCTGGAATGGGAATGAGATAGCAAGATTTTGTTGACTTCTGCTGCGGTGGACGTGGAAACCATTTCACCTTCATCTTCAATAAAAACAAGTTGCCCGTTCATACAGTTTTGTCTTTGCTATTTTATTCTTTTGTATTACTGTTCATGGCAACAAACGAAAGCGGCAGAGAAAACTCTTTCCTAACAGAAGAATTACCAGCGACCTGGCTCCGACCACTCTGAGAGCCAGATCGGTGGTGGTTATTTAAGGTATGTTTTTGATACATATACGAAAACTTTGGGTATAAATCGCGGACACTCGAACAAATTGATATTGTGGGTGTGGAACAGATACGTCCTGCGCTATCTCACACGCCCTGCTGACTGCGGGACGTAGTTGTCCCCGCGCGGTCGTCGTTGTGTCAAAAGAGGTGTTTAGTGCTTGTGTAGTCTCCTTCCATTGCTTCCGCTTAGGTCAACGCACCTTGTTGGTAATTTGCCAAAGGGAAAGGGGTCGCATTTGGGACTTTGGATGAGGGGAGTCGTATTTCTGACTGTTCCCTGTTCATGACTGTTGTAAGAGAGGTCATAATTCAGATTCCTGAAGGGGAGTTGGGGTGGTGGGTGGTGAAGAGAGGTGTTTTGACAGGTTTTTGACAATTTAAGCGGTGAAGTTTCGGAAAATTTTGATCTAAGCGAAATGAAATATTTGCCATTCTACGTCATATTTGCTCACTTTTTATATGTTGAGTCTCTTTTATTTACACAGTCAGTGAAGACAAGAAAATAACGAAAAACAAACTGAACTGAAAATCTTGAGAGGTAGAGGGCCATGTTTTATGATATGAAGGTATAATCTATGGAATGACATAAAAAGACCTCAAAGAGTTACCGACGAAAAGAATAGGATCAAGTGGGGTCTGCGCTCTAAATTCTCGTCGTGTCAAAATACAGAGAAACATTCACGAAGTCTTGGGTCCAGAATAAGGGTTGGGGCTTTTTGGTGATGTCGCTCGCAGGCGGCGACTTGGTGGTCAAGTGGCTGGCGTGGTGGGCTCTCATTGCGTAATATAGGGTTTGTGCTTTGATTTCCCATGCAGTTCGCAGTTGGCATTTGAATGCATGCCGTTCGCAGTTAGCATTTGAATGGGTTCTGAAGATGGATCGCAAAATACGTTATATTTATGATTCGGAGTCATTAGTACCACATACGATGGGAGTTTATGAGGCTGTAGTGGCGGCGTCGCCAATAAAGTTAAGTTTCAAATACCGGAATTCATTTAGGTTCGAAAATTTATGAGTCGGTAACGCTCATATGTCCTCAGATGATTTAGACATGACTGCTTTCAAAACCACATATGTCCTGGTGATTGCGCGAAACTGAAATTCCTTTCTCTAGGCATGGTCTCATATGCACGTCCGCGATCCTGGAGCCTTCCACAGCTACTTACAAATACAGTGCGTTTCAAAAGTATAAAGCCACCCTTGAATGAAGCTGTTCCAAGTTAGAATGAAGGTTCCGTGATTTGATGAATAGTTTATCGAATTCAGCACGCTCTGAAACTATAGTAAACTTTGTTGTACAAACCACTATAAGCTAGAAACGGTTCCATAAGAAAATTTGAAAAACTCCCCTGTTTCAAAAGTATAAAGCCACCCCGGGCGAGTAGGCAACAGCGGTAAAAATTTTTGTTCCTGTTAACTCATTTGGAGTTCTTTGGCCATAATTAGCACAAACACATTACGTCTTCAATATATCTCGTGGATCTACGTTTTCTTTGGAAGAGCAAGTTCGTGCGAGGACGTTACATCGAGCTGCCCATTCAAATCGCTCCATTGCTGCTCAACTTGGACGTTCTCAAAGCTGTATCGACATTTCTTTTGAGGAATCCAGCTTATCATGAAAGGAAAGATCCCTGAAAGGTCACGTGTTCTGCTTGAGTATTATATCCGCCATATTAAACGATCCCTTTCCAATTCTACTGCGACCATCAGTCAGATCCGATACGAGCTCTCCCTTTTTGCTTCGAAAAGTTCCATCTGGAGGGTCGCTAACTCTGCTCCAAATATCGTGCGACAATCCATGATGAAGACTCCACGTCCGGAACAGCATCACAAAGCACCTCGTCTCGAACTCGCCCGGAGGAACATGCGAACGAGTTGGGGTTCGGTAGGTGATTCTACGGGGGTAGGGAGACACTTTCATCATGACGTTTAGTTAATGGCTTGTAGTGTTCAGTTCATTTTCTGTGGTTGAAAGAACTTCAACTTAGACGGGCCGGATGGTCATCACAGATTCTGGAGAGATTTTAGCAAAGATCCGCTGGTATTTAGCAGGAGAGACTTCGGTGGTGGCGCATAGATGGTCTGAGCTGCATTCTACAGCGATGCTGTGCTCCCTCTGTCTTTCGTCTCGTGTCAAATGGACCCCAGTGAGAATCAGGATGCTTTTCTTAATGATCTTCTCTCGTTTCTGTGTGGAAGTCGTCGGCAAAACTTCATCTTTATGCACGATTACGCCACCATCCATCGCAGCCGGTCCACTCAACACCGGGTTTACGTCAACAAAATCAGTGTACTGGAATGGCCTGCTAGCAGCCTAGATCCAAATCCAATAAAAAACACCTGGGGTATCATTGTCCGACAGATATACGCGTATGGAAAGCAGTACAGTAACGTGGGAGACCTCAGACAGCCATCGAGACGTTTTCCTACCACCTGAATCCCGCTATACTTCTGAAGCTCACGGATAGTATGCCAAATGGTCTATTAAATCTCACTTCTAAAAAAGGAAGTCACGCTAGTTACTAATATTTACGATGTTCACTTTTTCTCTGGAAAAATAGAGTTATGTTGCAAGTGGCTTTATACTTTTGAAACAGGGGATATTTGGAAATCTTCTTATAAAAATGTATGTGAATCATTTTGCTTCCTGAAATAAAGAGAACAATGGTTTCCAAACACGCTGAATTCAATAAAGTTTATGGCAAGCCATGAAATACTCACCTTAACTCGGAAAGTTAGTTTTCATGGGTGGCTTTATACTTTTGAAACGCACTGTAGTCATCAAGTGCAGGGTCGAGGGCCCAACTTGCCACTTTTTGACGAAGGAGGAGAACTTAACGTCTTTGCAATCGTGCGTGACTTCTCGGCCGAGACCAAAGGGTGTCGACTATTGTCAATCTGCAGGATTTCTCATCTCAAGGCGTCAAGCTCGCTTCCAAGCTACCCATCGTCAACTGACGTTCTCTTGACTAGACATGGTCCAATTTTTCGCAGATATCAAAATGATAATTTCTTCTGAAGCTTTTGTATGTAAACGTATGTCCTATTAGGCGCTACACTCGACACCAATTTGTTAAACCAGCTGAAAGTGCCAGAACTTCCCAGACGGGTAGTCGAACTTCCAACCACTTCTTTCACACCAATTGTCTTGGTCTGGAGCCGGTCCCCATTTAGCAAAAGATAAGCCGTATGTTGTGTATCAATAAAAAAAACAAACTAGCCCTAACAAATGTAAAATGCGTTTTAACGCCCCCCCCCCCCAACGCCCTCAACGAACACCTGAGGAAGGAGAATTTTAAATTGATAATGAGTTTCGCCAGCTTGCCTTTGGATTGCAAGGGAAGGGTCAACTGAAAAGTTGATGCGCATAGAGACAAGCAGTTTGAAGGCATTATTTTTGAATGGAATATCTAGAAGTTTCCTCCACTATTCTTTTTCTTTGGTGGTGTATCCCTTTCCCTATACACGACACTGTCATCTTGATGTACTGTACTAAATTGTGTTCTAGCTATTTGGACTTCTGCCATGGAAATGCTCAGTGATGGCGCAGGTGCTTCTGGTTCACGGAAGGTAAGCGCTCCCTTTTCCAAGCGAGCAACTATTTATTCAGTAAAAGCCTCTTTTTTGGATAAATAAAGCGCAGCACTCTTTCTGTTTCAGTGGAGTGCTTTCGTTTAGAGGTTTCGATGCTATAACCATCTGTGCGGTTCGAGAAAAAAGACCTTCATTACGCAAGTACGCTAAGGAATAAAGAACAGAGCGGTCAACAGGAAAACTACCGCAGTAACACAGGCAACGTGGAGTGCAGCCGAGCCCCTAAGTTCCGATATGTAGATAAGCGTAACCTATACACCATGCGTGCTTATACATCATAAAATCACTATCGTTATCTGCCTAAATTTCATACCTCGTCTAAACCTTGCCTGTAAGGGTAATCGGATGCCTTGATCACGCAGATGGTTTTCTGTTTTCGTTTTGGCGTCTGGCGCCAAGCTGACCCAAAATTCTTGATGGAGTAGAGCGTTTCCAGACAAGTCATTCACCCTTTGATACCAACACACTTCATCTTCTGCCACACGGTTCGAGGTTACCTCCCCCGGGTCCCACTGCCCCTCTAGGCCTTGCCTCAGGCACTGCTGTAAGTGAGAGGGCTCATGATAGCAGAAAATATGGGTTGAATCCGCGTTAGTGCCAAAAGCGATGTCGTATCTGCAATCGGTACACCAAATAACCTTCCTGTATGACATGTTTACAGCACAATTTTTTTTTTTTGTTGGTGAAAACAGCTGTCATGACAAATTGACGCCAACTGGCGTCTAGGGCACCAGATCAAAAGTGGATGTCATTTTCACAATCAGGGCATCGAATTTTTTCCCAAGGGCAGTATTTGGACGTAGAATAAAATTTTGAGATAAGGATTAAGGATTGAGGATTGATTGATACTAGCGATGATTTATGAACTACATTTTTTTTTTGTTTATATCACATTGTTCAACAAAATTATAAGAAGCCTCCGTCAAGCGAACAATTAAGAAAACAATTAAGAATTGAGTTTTGCGTGTACGAGAGATGCTGGTTTGGCAAGACCATCTGAAAAGAGAAAAGATCAAGAATCAAATAGCGAAAGATTTTATTTATAAAACACAATACTCTAGCAAAAACTGGTGCAAACGTTCACGGAAGGCAAAACTAGCACTTGGTTTTTAACATCTAACTTTGGAGTCAGGGTACTAGTTGGTTACTCTCATTAACGAAGGATAAGCCCTATCTTATACACCATGCGGGCTTATACACAGGGCAGGCTTTTCTATCGTAATTTAGGTTTCAATTCGTTTAGAGAGATGTTACGATTGTTATCGTACGTGTATGTAGATAGGGTAACAGAGTAGCTAATTTGTAGTGTAGAGTCCGCCGTCCGAACTGGGACACAGTTAAAGTATACAATTATTATCTATGCATTATAACAAAGAAAGCTTGAAGCTCGAAGATAATTAGGCGTGCTTGCCTCCGGCAGAAATTGCAACTCATTGCATTTTTACATACATTTCTACAGTGGCCCGCATCATGTTGATCTACAGGGGCGAAAAGTTGGTGGTTTAGGGCGAGGTAGTTTTGCTCTCGGACACCGCTCATGTTTGCCAACGCCGAGTCTTAAAGGCAAAAGTCAGGCTCGTGTTTGGGCATTATGGCGCCTGAAATTGAGTGTAGAGATGGGAGGTGGAACGACAGTGAAGAAAAAACGCAAAGAAACCGTCGACAAGACCGAAATCGAAACCCCTTCCCTTCTAGCAGTGAAGGAGGCTTGCTCGGGGGAGAGCCACGTCCAAACGAGTTTTCCGGATATGCCAGCCGTTCCATCGGTTGATACGGCAATCAACCTAGCTGATCTCACACGTTAGGCCAGCCACGCACCACATCCCGCGGTGGGCGGGACCAGCTGATGTAACGAACCCATCGCTGAAAGTAGTAGGCCAGAAGCCTTGACGGCGCGCAATCTCGAGACAGGAGTGTGGCATCACCCCTCTGAGCGCATTCCTGGAAATATTAGTGATGGAAAAGGCCTTCTAAAAGGGGGGGGTTTTTTTTTACCTTAATCCCTGGACTCCGGTGGCTTTAAGCTGATTGAAAGGAGGGGCCGATAGTTCCTTGAAACCGTTTTCTCTCTTGCAGCGGCTGGACATTGATTGTGAGATTGCAATTCTTTTTTTTTTCTTGTCAACCCACCTTACTTTTTGTCGCAAAGAACGCCCACGACTGGTCAAGAGGGTTCCTGTAAGGGATATCCCCTAAACACAATGCCATGGGTGAATGTTTTGCACTCATTAACATAACGGAGCTGCAGCTCCAGAATTAGGAAGATTTAATACTCACCAAGAGGTGTCACGCTATGGTTCTTGATTTTATCTTCAAATTTGTTTCGCGAGAAATAACATTCCTGTTCAACAGACTGCCTAAATTGTAGGTCCTTTGCAATTACCCCATGTTTTCATTCAGATACCTCTGTGATGCCCAGTTGCTGTGCTTATGCGTGGCACATCCCGAAAATGATTTAACGCGCGCATAACTTCCATTTTATTCTGTGTGTTTCCAAACTATTTCACTTTTCAGGTGTGTAGATACATCCATGAAGTTTCATATAACAATTCAGGCAGACATCATGGCAGACGCTGCTTATGCAATGTTGTCAAAGAATAGTTCGTGAATATACGGTAACTTTCGTCGCCATTGACCGAGGAAGTTTTGAGAGCGAGGGAGTGGTCGATTTCACCAAATACGCCGTAGATCCCGGTGAGTACATGTGTATGCTTAGTAATGTGAAGTGGACTAGGTAGTCCCTTCCAGAGCACAATTGGTCGGCTACGGTACGCGGTACGATTACCGAGTCATGCTGTGGTTAGGTTCAAGGAATCCTGCCTGGATAATTTTTGCGCTCGTTCCCAACATCCAGTTGTGATTACTAAAGACAACACACCAAGTTTCACGCACGAAGAATTAAGTTTCGAAGAGAAACGAACTAATGTAGACCACACTCTGTGGACGACAGAAGGTAGATCGCGCGGCGCCAAAGGCGGGCATGGAAAGAAGGGGCCTTGGGGCGGCACGTATCAGGCGACGCATTGAAAGAATCGGGTTAAAGCGTGCGATTTTGGAGAATAGAGACAAACGATCGATAGAATAGGATGCAGTAGAAGTGTGAGATGTTAGTGCAATAAGTCAAAAGGTCAAAAGAGTTTCTAGTGACAGCACTCCGTGAAAGTGGAAGCGTTCCCGCCGCCAGCATTTGTGACAGATGTCCGGCGGGAATTTGAACGCGTAGCAGTCCTTCCGATTTTTCGAATTGTTTGCCAAAACAAACCATTTTTTGTTCCTTTAATTATCGTGAACGTGGATCTTAAGCTAGTGATTTATATGGCAGGTAGAGTCATGATTTTTCCTACAAAGGTTCCTCCAACTAGTAGGAGCGGAGGTATGAAGTCACTTCAGTTCCCATCACTAAATTCTTCATGATTTGCAAACCAACCGAATCTTCTACCTGAACATTTAATGATAATCTCAAACGATCAAGAAATTCCATCAAACTCCGCCACATCAGAAGGTTCTGCCGTGCGTATCAGAGATCCTCGCTTGTTAGCTTCACACATTGTATGGGTCTTCCTTTTCAGTGAAGTAATGGTTTTTGAATTCAGTGCGTAGACATTCAACGTTGAAGAGTTGTGTTACGCTCTGCAGCACGGAAAGCAGTTTGCTTTTTGGTTGGTAGATGTACTAGCTAGCGTTCATCGTCAGCTGTTGAACATGAAATCGGTTTTTCCTTTCCAAAAAAAACTCCAATTCACTTAATAGCCTAGCGCGGCTGGTCGGCTTTCAAGAATCTGTGAACTGAATCGTCGCACACAGCGACGTTGTTAGATTTGCGAATTGGAATGTTTACTGCTATGGCTAGAGGGTGGAGTGGTTTTGATGACGTTGTTAGACGTCAGTGGTAGATCACACTCCTTCATTTTGGGGGGGGGGGAACGGGGAGGCGTAGTTGGAACCACCTTCTAATGCCTAATCGTCTTCGTTACTTTGTGCTTATTTTTGTCTATTCACGATTCATGGTTTAATCTACTGTAATGTTTAGGTGCACCCTTGACGGCAGATTTCTTCATTCCAAATACTGATAATTATCCGGAAACATTTTTACAATCACACGAGAGACAATTAAGTGTCAGCTCATTGAAAAAGGTATTACTTTTCAATGTTTTAGTATTGCGTAAATATCTTACTGGTCCAGATCTGTGTGGAACAACGTGGTGTGTTAAAAAAATCCCACTCACATCCCTAGGAATAAGAAACCACGTTCGTGTTGAGCCGGGAATTCATAAAACCCGTATCATTATATTATGTCTTCCAATAAGTTTTGAAACTGGATCAAAAATGCAAAATTCATTGCCTGTAAGCAATAGAAACTACCCAACAACATCGGTCAAGTGCAGTAGCGGTCAAAAGTTTGGAAACTTTTTTATTTTTGATCTAGCGCGGCCGACACACAACGAAATTGTCCCAAATTTAGATATTCCATACAAAATCAAGTTCAGAATACGACGGGAAGAATAATTTCCAAAAACCTATAATCATATTTGAGAAATAAGATTTTTTTCAAGTAATGGCGCGTCAAAAGTTTGGAAACTTTTTGTTTCCCTTATCATTATGATTCCTACTCTTCAATGTTTACTTGTTTCTGTTAATTTTAGTTCAACCATTGAGTAATGTGTAATTTCAAAATGAATTCATATGCAAAGGAAGCAGTTTTTCCATGGGAGGTCCTTTTTTAAACCCTACAATCCGAAATTGAAATTGTTTCTTAGTAGTTCAGTCTCTACGGAAGCAATATTATCGAATGTTTCTAGCGTTATTGGAGTCGAGTAAGCATAAGAAGAATGATCATTCACAAAAAAGTATCCTCACAAGAAAATTGGCCTCCTCAAATACTTCGAAAGGGTGGTTGGCACGTCCCGTACCCGACACAACTTCCTATAGCAAAAATAAGAGACAACTTGTTCTTGTTTTTTCCTCGCCTAAAGTATATGCAAAACGTCCAAGTGCAAACCACAGCCATCGCCCGCCCCCTGGTGATATTGAGGGTTGATTTAAGAGCTATTCTTTGCGAATTCGCTTTAGAATTCGGAAGTTTCCAAACTTTTGACGCGCCATTTCTTATAAAAATTCGTATTTTTCAAATGCGATTTCAGTTTTCAAAAATCATGTTACCCATCGTAATCTACACTAGATTCTGAATATAATATGTGAATTCGGAGAATTTCATTGTCTATTGGCTACGCTAGATCAAAAATAAAAGAAGTTCTACACTTTTGACCGCTACTGTATGTCCATCGGAATCAACCCAGTTTTGCCACGTTTCCGGCAACAAATCGATGTCTTGCCGATAAAATTCCAAATCTTCATTGTAATCCGATTTAAAGACGTAAAGCAGCAAGTCGTATGTGGTCTTTTTTGAGACCATATCGTGACAGAAGGTATAATAGTACATTTCAAACACCAAAAGACTCGCAAGAAAATCCTGCATAAATTTGTGCAAAAATTAAAATTTTTGTATTGATATTAAATTTTTTGATTTAGTCTCAAAACTTTTTGGAAGGCGCTGCCTAAAATGAATAAGTGAGTACGTGCCTTACAATGTAAGTATGGGAAGCTGTTGATATTCTATAACCTTTTGTGTATTGTAATAAGGTCATGCTGACCAACTTTCGGATGCTGCGAATCCTGTAGATAAGCCGGATCGCGATTACTCACTTTTATGCTTACAAAATTGTAATTGGCTGGTGAAATGCAAATCCTTTTTTTGCGTCTTCTGCGTGTTGACCTTTGAAAGATGCTACCGGTTTCTCTAACTTTGTGAGCCCTTAGGCTGCGATAGACGAGGATATTGCAAGTGTTCTGGCAAACATGAAGGGAAAGCTATCCAAAGATCTGGTCGACAAAATGCAGGCTGTCTACGAGTTTACGCTCACTGGTATGATGGCTAATTTTCTAACGAAAGTCAACAAAAATACGCGACATATTTCAGGAGATAAAGAGAGAAAGATCGTCATAGATTTGAAGAATGGAAATGGTTCAGTAGCGGAAAATGGTGATGAGAAAGCTGATGTCAAGTAGGTTTATATTCGATTTGATGTTCGAATCCCCACCTCAGAGGCATACTTGTGTCCTAACAATCACTTCCACAATTGGATAAACCGTCTAGTGCGATGGATCCGCTACGCTTGTTGACGATTTAGACGGGTAGGGTCCCAAGGGTATGCCTCAAGAGATCACGATTGCAGCGCCGCGCCGGATCTACAAGGTGGCTACCAGTGTTATGGTACCAAGATCAGAGTTAAGTCATGGGAAATCTGCACAACTAAAATGACAGAAAGCAAAAATGTATTCCGTGAAAGGTAGTGAACGGGAATTCACGATACCCTTCCAAGTAGCCATTGTCTATTTGAAAGAGTAGCGAAGTCTCCCGGAGACTGCGGCTGCTGTGTGTAGATGGAGGCGTCGAGATCGTTCCTGGCATTCCGAAGTAACTCGATTTCATCGACTTTCATGATGCCACGAGCAGGTGCTCGTTTTCACGACACCATTATGAATCGAAGAATCGTTTTATTTCGGAGAAATTTTCTATGTATGCATTGGAAACTCACTTTTGATTCCTAATTTTCGATGTGGCGCCCAGCAAAGACCTTCATTGAACTGCACGTCTGATTTCAGTGATTTCAAGCATACTGAATTGTGGGCTTTGTTGGAAATGGCGTTTTTTAAGGATCTTGCTGCAATTGGAATACCCCCCCACGCCCCCATGCTAGTGGAGTATACACCGACGTAAGCGACGCGATTTGGGGCACAAATAGCTGCTTCTGTTCCCAGTTTACGTTGAACGAATGATATTATTTTTCTGTTTTCTTAGCAGCGATGTAATAAAAAGTTAGCAGACTTAAAAATTTTGGAATTGTGAAAGTACACTAGGCGATTTCATGATTTTCCAATCAGCTGATTCACATTTCAAAAGAACTACCCAGGGTAAAGTTGGGGAGGGGGTAACAGCGCTTGAAGGCAGCTGATTTCTCATTGACCGAAATCATTGGGATACGTCTAATCCACGTCGACGCTTACGTGGATTACGCCACGTCGTACCACGTTATGTGTTAAGGGAGAGTGTGTGGAATTTAGTCTATTTGCTTTGGTTTGCTAACCTCGTGGACAGGAGTATCCTGCTCAGAAGATGGAGAGGATGGATTGATCCACAAAGCCTCTTCCTCGGTTGTTGCTTTTGTTGCATCTTTCTAACTGTTATTTCGAAGCTACCGGTTATATAAACACAGCGGTCGGCAGGAAAGTTCAGATGATTTGAGTTGTGTTGCGGATCACATCGTTTTTGGTACTTCAGTAAAAATCACCCGCAGTTGCTGTTTTTCTTACCGCACAAGAAGTTTTGCAAACAAATAGAAAGTTTGCTTCCACTAATCGGCAGGCGCACAAAGGAAAATCATGCCAGTTATGAGTTCATCGTAAAATGCACCATACTGCCTCTGGAAATGACATCGGTGCTGGAAAACCCTTGAGGTTTTCTCGATCAAGCACCGTAATTCCATGCATGAATGGTCGCAGAAAAGATTGCATCACCATAACTTGATGATGTCCTATATTCCATTAAGTTCTGATTATAGGGAGGTACACCGCACGTGCACCGCATTATAGCAGTGTGTGATCAGTCAGCACCACATTTTTCTTTATTTCAACATTGAGCTGGCGCTCGGGTGCTGGTGCAATTATAAGTTGACTAAACCAGTTGAGTAAATCATTCTTCTTGTGGTTTTCAATAAACGACTGGATCGGATGCCTGTTAGGACGCAACAAGTGACGATCGGGACCAGCACCAAAGGGCCTATAGGAGTCAGGATTCCGGCTGCTCAAGATTTTGAAGAAACCCAAATACGACATACCCAAGTCATCCGGTAACGGAGCAACTAATGCTCTTTCTACACCTCAGGTCGAGATACTACTTTAAACTTTAGCCCAACGTTACTTCGGCATAAATGAATGAAAATGCTGTTTGCTTCGCTAGCGCCTACCAGGGATGGCATGGTGGATAACGAAACTCAATAAGATCAACTGAACAAGGCCAGAAAATTCGCGTCCGATAAAGAGTCTGGATGTACATTTGATTACGGTTACAAGCGATATGTATATATTATTGAAGCGTGGAGTATCCAATGTAGAAAGTAAGAACGGAAGCTCCATCTTATTTAAACTCGGGGGCAACACATATCGTAAGTGTGCAGATGATGTTCACCTACACAACCGCACGAGATCAATTGCGCAACAACAGGAAGGCCTCAGACGATATTTGCATCCAAGAAAACATTGATTTGTTGCCGATACGAGTGCTTGAGAACATGATTTCCAGCACTATCTTCAAATTGTGTACCATTCCGAGAACACGGATAGATGAAGAGGTTTTTTTTGAAAGGAATGGCTTCAGCGTCAAGATATGAAATACATAGTCTCAGGAGGCTTCGTCGACTTTATACGCAAGCAAGAGACAAGCCGTTGGCGAAGAAGGTCTCGTCGCAGGGTGCGAGAATTCTACAGCTCTGAAAATGTGCAACTGTGGAGACAGGTCACGATGTTCATGTCTTGCAAAAGAAGAAAAGGAAATGTTCAGATGTGGATGTATTACAGAAATGTTTGTCCACTTCTTCTTGATCATTACAGAAATGTTTGTCCACTTCTCCTTCAAGGCAGCGTAAATGGAACCAATGAAGAATGTGCCGCATAGAATAGAAATGTGTAGATCAACTTGATGTCTACGGACATTCGCTGCGCTTCCAGGTTGACAACGGGCGGACTAACCCGAATATCTCGTCGAAAAGCTTGTATTCGCACTCCTGGAATCCTGTTCAATATCAGTCAAAACGGCTCATAGATCGTATAGCGAAGATCGATGAAAGATTTTTCACAAACTCCGTGAAAGCCTGACACGGGTAACAGTTCCAAATGAATGGTTATTGCTACTTCACAGAAAGCTTAGCGTTGCTTCGCCTAGAATGGTGTTCCCAATTCACTGCTTACAAGGAGTTACAAGAGAGATGCCACTCCTGAATTGTGAGCGAAGCGAAAACTATTAGAACTTCATCAGTTACAGACCTGAAGAAGCATTACACCGCAATTCCCACATGCAAGCTTGATCGATGCGCGAAAAGTAAAGCGAATCTGTTTCTGAACAATATGCAGTGCCAGTTTTTTTTAGAAGAAGCGACTAATCCTTCGTGCCTCTATTCCTGAATTAGATGCCGAGGTTGATCGGTTAATTTTCAATTGAGTGTTATCATCACTCGACCATTCGCAATGGGCCACCTCTTTTTGCAGTCAAGGAGAAGAACGGACACATTCGTTTATGTTGCGACTTCTCGACAGGTTTGAAGAATGTGTTATACTTGCATCAGTACCCATTGCCTACTGCGAGAGATATGTTCACAATACTACAAGAGAGATAAATTTCTCCCAGATCGACTTGGCAAATGTTTATTAGCTGGTATAAGTCGAGGAAGAATGGAAAGGGGCTGACCATCAACTCGCACAAGGGACGTCGCCCTTCGGAATCAAATCAACACCCGGCATTTCAACAAATCATGGTTTCGAAGATTGAAAACTACATGATGTTGCTGCATTTTTGGATGACATCATTAGCACAGGCTGCGCATATGAAGAGCAGAAGTCTTAACGTGTTATTATTGTGTTAAAAGGCTGCTGTTCGAGCATGTTCATTTTTTTGTGCTTCTTAATAAACGACTACATCGCCTCTGGTCCCACAACAGATAAAGCCATTCGTCAATAATGTACTGACTGTGTTGAAGCGCCCGCTACGCAAGTCAGTCGCGGTAAAATGAGGTTAGGCTCACTTTTTGACTTAAAGTTTTCCGTGTTATTACTGAAGCTCAGACACGATAGAGTGCAGGAAGGAGGCCGTTTGGTAGGGTAATGTGCAATTCGCAAGGCTTTTAGCCGTTTTCGGGCCTTTGAAAATGACGAGTCCGTTGAATCCTGGGCCAGAATAACAATACAATATTTTCCACCTGACAACTTCGAGGTAGAAGTAAAAATCATAACGACACAACAGATTATTTCCAAGTATTTCCAAGCCACCCCGCTTCACTTCCTGTTATCTACAGTTTTGATTTTTTTCTCTGTAAAGGCATCTGTTTTTATCGTGATCATTTTGCTTAAGAACTTAATAAGTACAATTTAGGTTCACTCTGGCTGCTACTGATTTCGCGCCGATGTTCACTGGAAAGATCACACCAACAAACGCGTTCATGTCCAAAAAGCTCAAAATCAAAGGCGACATGACCAAAGCATTAAAACTGGAGGGTGTTCTGAAGAAAATGAACAAGAGCAAGTTGTAAATCTCACTTTGATGTCTGCCTCACAAACATGGTTCTACTTGGTATTTATTGCTCTCTTTCCAAGTTTTCATTCACTAACAACCTTTTATTCATAGCTCTCGTTCGTTTTATCTCGATTCATTTTTGGACGAAATCTTCTGACCTACGTATTCGGGAAGTTCTTCCATTAACGCTCACCCCTCACCATTGTATTGACACAGTAGTCGTAAGGCAGTATTATGCGCAGTTTGTCACTTTGTATGCTGTATAGAATTCCACTACCTCAATTTCAGTACATATGGATGATAAATTATTCTTGGAAACTCGTCGACTTTCATAATGGATACCTTATTCTAGGACTTCCCAAGACTCAAAACAGTAGCATAAGAAGTCGTAGCGCAACGGAAGGTTGTCACGGGAAACAATGTGTTCGCGAATTCTCCACTTCAGAATGCTGGATTATTTAAGGCGGTATTTCATCTTAATTCCATTTTTGCTGTTTCAGAAATTAGTTCTGGTACGCTTTTAATGTTACGGTCTTGTGCGGCCCGCTGTCGAGCGCATAACACTGTTCCTTGGCAGTGTGGAAAAGGCGGTTAAAATTTGCGGATTTAGGTCTACCCACTTCGACGAAGATGTCGCCCACCAGTTGCATTTCACGAACCCCATCGCTCCCTCCATCGCTAGCCACAATCCTTTTTTGGTTTCCGGGCTATCTCAGAAACAGATACAATGTTCAGTGACAAACCCAATCAGTTTCGGTGCATGTCGTACCCATTGTGGGCAACCATCTGAGTGTGCGTATGACACCTCAGATATTGATCGCCTCCACCTATTTTCTGTTCTCCAAACATTCTACAGTCCGTAACACCGGGTAAAAATCTTGCCGAGGGCATGGTCGCAAAGTACTCCCCCTCCTCAAAATCGGGGTCTTGACACGACCACCTGAAGATTACCACCGTAATTATATGACATTAATGGTATTTGGAAGTATTAGAAGTACCTTAGAATTGTTCTGTCCCGAAAGTCTCATGTTGATCTAAATGTGTATTAAACAATGTGAGACTTCAAAATTTTATTGCAAAAGACTCAAAACTTTCTACAAAAGAAATTGCAAAAATGAGTGTTTGCAAAAGTTTTGCAAAAGTTTTTTTTTGGCGAGCTTTCGGCGCTTAGCGCCTTTGTCGAGCCTGAAATGAAAATTATAAGCTTTCTTAAAGTCTGTTAATATATTAAAATATATTAACTGACCCACCTGCTGTCCACTTTCAAAAGTGTAACACTTACCACCCTTGTCGGTCTGTGAAGCAGGAACTGTTCCCTACCCTAGACTTACCCTTAAATAGCGTTGACGTGCTACGACCGTTATTTCCCAAAATATCGCATTCATTCCACAGTGATGATAACTGCAGTCATGCGATGAGTTGAAGAGAGTCACGCCGATTTTGCTGGGTTCTATGTTTGGAGAAGCTGTTACCTGGATATGAGGCCGGATTTTGTAGAGCCCTCCGATGTTCATCGAGTCGTTTGTGGAGAGGTCTTCTTGTTTCTCCAACATACTTATGCCCACATCCTTGGCATTCTATTGCATAAACTGTACCTCTTAGTTGGCATATTTTGTCGTCCTTACAGTAGATGCAACCATTCCTTCCCACATATAACCTTCGTATAATGTATGCT